GCCCGGCCGCTACCCCCGCGACCCCGCCAGGGGCGCCGACTTCGACCGCGTGTACAGCGGGGTGGTGAGCCTCAGCACCGAGAGCATCTACTCCTTCAACTACACCAGCCGGCCCGGCCAGGTAAGCCTCTCCCTCCCCGCGCCCGACGCCCAGAACTTGCGGGATTTCAGAGCCCCCGCGCAGCGGGGGGACCCCTGGGCATGGACCTCCGGAGGCCGCGGGGACTAGAGATCCTTGTTCCTTTTTGCCTGCGAAGCAGTCACTGCCCTGCTCAAGCTCCTGCCTCCAGCCTCGGGGACAGCTCAGCGGCACCGCGCGCCTACCCCGGCCTGGACGCTGGCATTGCTGGGCTTTCCAGAGGTGCTAGATCCCCGCACCTTCCACAGCTCCTGGCTCTCCGCCGGGCCTTTCTGTAGGAAAGTCGAGATTCCTAGGTTTGCCGGAGGGCGGGATGAGCCCGAACCTCTGTTCCTTAATATCCGACTGGAAAGGGATCTCATTACGTTCGTTCGGATGAGATGAGCCCATCTAGTTCATAGTGCAAGGAGGGAGAAAGCTACTCAGAATCTAAAATGGAAATCAATCGTGTGAGAGTGGACGGAAGCTACAGAACCTCTGTGTGTATTCAACACCCACTCCCTGCCTTTCTGTACCACTGTCACATGTATGTGCATCAGAGACCCGGTCGGGGACACTGACTCTGCGGCCCTCCGCTGATGCGGCGAGGTTTGGATGTTAAATAAGGGTGAATAATTGTATGAAAGTTCTAGACCTATTTCTGACAAGAGTTAAAGCTGAAAAGAGGATTGCTCCTGTAACTGTGACTTTGACATATATACTCTGATTATATAACCTAAGGAAATGCATATAGTTCGCTTTTAGCCTGGGGAAAGGGGTTCTCTAGTATACCAACCTCTGACCAATCTCGGGGACTTCTTCCCGTATAAATGTGCCAATTCCCTACTGTCTTGGGAAATTCCAGAAACAGATGTTTAGGATCCCATCTTATGCCTCCCCCCTGAATTCTCAAAAACCTTGCTTCAAATTGAGAAAGAGGCTTGTATTGAACCAGAGGGACCAATGTGCCTATCACAGACTTCTTCCAGCTCTGTGTACTGAATTCCCCATCCCCAGGCAGGCACCAAGTCCTTTGACGCTGTCACCATGGTAGCGCAGCCCTCATCCTGCCCTGTCCTTCTGTAACCTTCAGGCTGTGTGTCCTGTAGTGAACAGAGAGGCTGTGTACAGATCCACTGCACTGTACACACGGGTTTAATTTGCCAAAACCCCACATAAATGACACCTTCCTATCTAGTGTGGGGTTCTCTTATGCTGGGCACATGAGGTGTGATCCTACCCCTGATTCCCTGGAAAGAGATATATCCCTGAAAATTTCACAGTCTCTGGGCTATGGTATCAGCTTCACCCTAAATCACTGACAAGGAAACTCAGATTGTATGTGCAAAGTAAATCCTGGCGTTAGGCTTTGATATTTCTTACAGTTCTGCACAGACTGACTGCTTGTTAAACGTTGCTTTTTTTGCCTTTCCCCCTTAGTTCTGTGTGAGTTGCTGACTATAGCACAAATCTCTGTTGACAGTTGAGGTTACCTGTTTAATTTTCCTGATAACCCTTAAATAATAGGGGGCAAATCGTGCTCATCTCTGTACCCTCAGATCTACTGCTATGGCACAGAAGTTTGTAAATGGGTTTTTTTCCTAAATAAATAAATAAGTCAATAAGGGGTTAAACAATCCTTAAACTAGAGTTAAATAAAGTAAAATGTATAGTGTGTTAAATTTAATAGTTTGGAAGATGTGAAGTCAGTTCAGGTAAAAACAAAAATGAATTTTGTTCTTTATAAAAACAAAAATTTTAAAAATTATTGTTATATCCTTTCTATTTTGTTATCTCTGGGCTAAATGGCTTTATTTTGTGAAGCAATGATGATAAGTAGTTTTTAAAGAAACTTTCCACAAGACAACCAAAAATTGACAACCACAAGCAGTCCTTCAATTTTTCATTAAAATGTTGCCAAGAAAAGCTAACAAGAAATACTAAGTTGAAAGCCTAGGGACCTGTATAACAAGTCCTTCAATTGTTTTAACATCTGTATGCACCAAGATAAACCAGATGTCAAACCTTCCAAGTTCCTGAGACAGATTTCTAATATTCAAATAAGATAGCAAAACCTTCAACCCACTGACTACTCTCTTTTCTCCAGCTGTATTTCTGCTGATTGCTGAGGTGGGGGGCATTTCCCTTCCCTCCTCTCGTCTTGCTCCATTTTGTTCCACGTTAGGTACCAGCTGCCCCTCTTCTCAATGCATGAACACATGGGACGTGGGAGACTCTCACTAAAGGTTTGGAATAAACACAAGAGAATTAAAGTACAGCACAGGATAAGTGACAGATTAAATCAGAAACCCAGGCAACACTGTCTTAACAAGTTAGTTGTGATTCTCTGTCTAGGGGCATTTCAAGGTGGTGACTCTCACTCTTGTCATCTTTTTGGCCATTCCTGCACCCAGTGGCCTCCATCCTCTAAATTTTTTTATTCTCCCTTATTGAACAATTTTTGCCTCTGTTGCCAACTCCAGACTCATGAAGGGGCTCTGCTTAATAAAGATCTGTGGTGTGTGGAGCAGAAGCTCAGACATGGCGGCTTTTCCTCTAACCTTTTGGCAGGCAAGGCTCCCTCCACTGCAATCTTCAGTCAGCAAAATTTTGAGTTTAGAAAAAAAGTCTTATTTTTGAGTTTTAATCGTTTTCCCCCTTTCTCTTCAATCTGATGTTGTTTGCCATTATTTTTCCTTTGCCTTGAACAACAGTCTATTCCATGTATAGTCTTTGCTGAAGAAAAGAAGGAATTGTGGAGGCCATTGTTCCCAATCTTTCCCATCAGCCACTGTGTCTCCTACAAGTGCTATCCCAGAGAATGATTTCACCAAGCGTGTGTCATGCTCAATTAGATGCACTCAGCACCAGGAAAAGTCTCGTGTGCCTTGCAGGCGTAGAGAAATATAAATATGAAGTTGCCATTTTAAAAAAAAAATGGAGTGGCTGGCTTAAAAAAAAATCAAAATAATAATTAAGGGTGAAGGTTAGGCAAGATCAGGTTCATTTGTTTTCTCTGGAGAGGAAGCTTCTCAAAACTCTTTTGAAGGGGAGTAGGGTTACACTGCAAACAGGATGTTCTGTAACCACAAGGCTCAGCCAAACTAAAAGGAAATCACCTGGTTCGGAAAGTCACCAGTGATGTTTGGCCGGACTGAGGGACACTACTGGGTTGAAAATGTCCTTATAGGGACAGATAGAGGCAACAATCAGATGTTTCTCTCTGAGCCAGAAGGTGTTAAGAAGGCCTCATATAAAGATCTAACCACTCTGCAACAGGCTGTCTTCTCTGAGGCTTTCAGTAACAGCATTCAATGTTTGCAATAGATTTTGAACCCTTTCTCTGGAAATATCTTTTTTGCTTTCTTAAACTGAGGCATTTATCCTTCAGTGACATATATTAACATTTTCTATACCCAAGGAACAATCATTGGCTGTATTAATATCCACCAATAGTTATATATCTAGGGCAAGTTGTACTAGTCTCTTGAATCCGGACTTGAAAAGCCCACCCAGCCCCCACGAATGATCAAATACATATGGGGACACTCTCCTGGTAACTTCTAGCTGTAGACAGACAGCCCTTTACATCTGTTGATCCCACATCTATGGATTCAATCTATCTCAAATTGAAAATACTCAAGAAAAAATCTATGTCTGTAATGAACATGTAGACTTTTTCTTGACATTATTCCTAGACAATATAGTATAACTACTATTTAAATAACATTTTTATTGCACTAGGTATTATAAGTAGTCTAGTAATTTTAGTAATACAGGGAGGATCTGCATAGATTATAGGCAAATACTGTGTCATTTCATACAAGGGACTTGCGTGTTCACAGAATTTCAGTAAGAGTTCTAAAGCAAATCTTTCACAGGCACTGAGGGACAATTGTACTGTATATTACCAGTTACACAGAAGAATTAAAAATTTGGATGTGGTCGCCTCAGTTCTTCTACCTGGTGCAGGGAAAGTTTGCTCTTCATATGCTGTAGCCAAGAAGCCACCTTTGCTGTCCTCCCACGTCCTCTTACAGAACAGAACTACTGCTTGTTGGAGAAAAGAATCATCTCATTACCACATTATCTGGATGATTGGTCCTGCAATAACAAAATACCATTGGCAGATCCAGTGTCTAGGAAGGGTCTGTTTCCTGACTTGTAGATAGCCACTTTCTTGCTGTGTCAAAAACAGGTGAAGACTGCAAAGAAAAGCAAGATTTTCCAGGGCCCCTCTTATAAAAGCATGTGACTGGCTTCTGTTTCTTTGGAGGAGCTCCAGTCTTCACCCTCACCTTGGATGTTTTCTCCTGGCTTCCAGCGCAGACTCCAGCACATTTCAAGACAGAATATGGAACTTCTGGGAAGGTGGCAGAGTGCTGAAGAGAAAAGAAACAGCCTCTTTGAGATTTGGTGTCCAGATACTGGGATACAGCAACGTGAGGAAGAAAAGGAGGGAAGTGAGTCCCTGGGACCCAGTAAGGACCCAAAGCAAGAATTGAAGCCCACAAGAAGAATGAAGAGAGAAACCTTCATGCAGGAGAAGGAAGTGGCAAGCAGCGCTTTCTCCCTGAGCCCTTACTCACTGCATGGGAAGGGCAGCTCAAACTTGCAAACATACAGTGACTAGTGGCAACCCCAGAGGCCTCCACAGAGAAATGCACCAGTGGAACGGAGCAGTGGACGCAGCGGACTGCAGTGGCTGGTGAATTACTTGGGTTCAGATGCCCCCAGGAAAGGGCAATTGGCCAGTAACCATCTTGAGGAGGGGCCAACTGAGCTCGTAATTCAGAGTAGTGGTGGGTTGGCTCCATCTAACAGCTCCCAGTGTCAGGGTAAGGTGGAACCAAGTTTAAACTGGCAGGAGGTCAAGGAGCCAAATTCAAGCTCACGGGAGGCACACCAAGCATCACATGCTGAATAAATTGGGTTCCATCTTCACATTCAGAAACCTGCCCGAACTTCAGTAGAACTACAGGTGCAGGTTTTCTGGGATTATA